AGTCTTTGCCAGGAAAGGAAGAACAGAGGGAGTGATGAATGAGAATTCAAGTAGAAGCTACACACATTATTGAGCTTTAAGAAGTTTAGAAAAATGGAGGAAAAGAATAAATGAGAAGGGAGTGAGCATCTGTGTCCATTTTCTCCCCTAGTGCACCTTTGAGCATCGAGTAGTTAGCATGGGGTTCTGGCCAGAGGCTTCTCTGAATTCCAGCTCTCCCTGCCACTATGACCGTGGGCCAGTCACTTCAATCTCTCTGTGCCTCTGTTGCTGCATCAGTAAAATGAGGCTAAAAATAATATTTACCATAGAGTTGTTGTGAGCTAATTTCATAAGTGGTTTTAAATGGTGCCTGTTGCATAGTTGGTGTTATATATTTATTAGCTACTGTTATTTGCTCATTTTCTAGTAATTTTTTGGGTCTGTAGAGATGTGAGGTGGGAAAAGATAATGTGAAGAAAAATCAGGTCCAACCCCCAATGGGTTGTGACATGTAGCAACACCGAATCACAACTACATTTATTTTTCCATCCAAATTTTTTTTGGATAGCATTAGAGAGTTGGTTACAATAATGTTGATGAGAACTTGAATTTTTTCACCCACTTATTCATGCATCTGTGATTGTTTATTTATTTGAGTTAGGTCACAAGGCAATCAATTTACAAACCTGTAGAGAGCAGAGAATTTTCCCCTTAAGGAATCTACAGTCATTTGGTTAATAGTACAAACCATTAACATCTAATCAGAATTATTATATTTGAACTATTCTGTTAAATCCCCATAAATCAAAGCAATCATAAATAAATGGTCTAGGAAAAATATTTCGTGAAAAAATTCAGTTTCTATACTATAAGATTGATATCTCTGCATCTCTACCAATACCTTCCTTTGAAATTACCTGTCATTTTTCCTTCTGTGTGAATAGAGGCTCCTTGTTTCAAGCTTAGACTGAACACTTTCACCTCAGGTCATTCAATCAACATCTACTGAACGCCTGCTATGACCTGAACCCTTGGAGTCTATGTTGGGCAAAAACAGTTTACAGATTATAAATTATATGGATACTGATCATAATTTTTCAATTTCATTTTTGATGTTTTTTAAACCCACATGTTATGCCTCTTCATTTGCCATCTGGGATTTACTGAGATTTATGAAGCATGTAGTCACTTTTCAAAATAAGGAATCTAATAGAAGACACATTTTCTTCTGAATATTTAAAAAATCATTTCACTGCAAGGACAATAATGCATATTTGACTTGGTTCTTCTCATGGGCTCAAAAAAAGGCTCAGGTGTTCAAGGTTGTTGAGCTGCTAGCAACATTCTATCAGGCCTCCCTGTATACTGCACAGAGGCCACTGATGGATATACCTGATGGTAACTGAAGATGTCCAATGACTGGAAATGTATAGGATAATCTTGTGCTGTGAAAAGAGAACTTATTCTTTGATCTGAATCAGCCACTTACTCCTCTGGGCCACAATTTTCTCATGGTAAAAATTAGAAGTTTATCATGGCAAAAATAAATGAAATGACCTTCAAGGTTCTCCCATCCCTCAATTACTAGGATTCTAAATGAGTCCTCCCCTGTGGGGCCACTGGCCACACGTGGCTCCTAAACACTTGATTCATGGCTAGTAGAACTGAGATGTGCTGTAAGTAAAAAATACTCACCAGATTCTCAGTTAGTACCAAAAAACATAAAATATGTTGGATATATTGGTTTAAAAATATGATTAAGGAGAAACCAAGATGGCGGCATAGGTAAACACCGGAGTTTGCTGCCTCGCACAACCACTTCAAAAATACAACTAAAAGATGGAACAGACATCACCCAGAACCACAGGAAGGCAGCTTGCATTGCTTCTCAGCTGGGCCTCATCTGGGCACCCCCAAACCCCCAAAAAAGGAAGGGGAATCTGCATATCTCTTCATAGCTCCTGCTGGGTAACCTCAGGAAGAGGCTTAATTAGCACCTCCTTAGATCCAAGAGCCAGTGTACCCAGTGGTCAGAGTGGGACCACCCAGATTACAACTCCTCAGATTCATAAGGAACACACTCAGGGGGCAGACTCAGTGAGCACCAAAGCCCCACTGAAGCAAGTCTTGCCCCAGAAGGGTGTCTTCAGCACAGAAGTTCTCCCACTGCAGACACAGCTGATTCTCACTGCCAATTGGCCTGGAGGTCAATTCCTCCCAGTGACACCTAAAACAATCAAGGCATAACTACAACAAGACTGTGCACAAAGCCCACAAGGGGGTGCACCAAGAGTGTCCACCTCAGGTAACTGGGGAGGCTGAGCCACTGGGCCCTGTAGGACACCTAGCACACAAAACCACTCTACCAACACAGGGAAGCAGACAAAATGCGAAGACAAAGAAACAGGTCACAAATGACAGAAATGGAGGACAGCAAACGACTGGATATAGAGTTCAAAACCACGGTTCTAAGATTTTTCAAGAATTTTATGGAAACCGCCGATAAATGTATTGAGATCCTTAAGAAATCTAGTGAGACCCTCGATGTTGTGATAAAGGACCAACTAGAAATTAAGCATACACTGACTGAAATAAAGAATATTATACAGACTCCCAACAGCAGACCAGAGGATCGCAAGAATCAAGTCAAAGATTTGAAATACGAAGAAGCAAAAAACACCCAACCGGAAAAGCAAAATGAAAAAAGAATCCAAAAATACGAAGATAGTGTAAGGAGCCTCTGGGACAACTTCAAGCGTACCAACATCAGAATTATAGGGGTACCAGAAGAAGAGAGAGGGCAAGATATTGAAAACCTATTTGAAGAAATAATGACAGAAAACTTCCCCTACCTGGTGAAAGAAATAGACTTCCAAGTCCAGGAAGCGCAGAGAACCCCAAACAAAAGGAATCCAAAGAGGACCACACCAAGACACATCATAATTAAAATGCCAAGAGCAAAAGACAAAGAGAGAATCTTAAAAGCAGCAAGAGAAAAAAAGTCAGTTACCTATAAGGGAGTACCCATACGACTGTCAGCTGATTTCTCAACAGAAACTTTGCAGGCCAGAAGGGAGTGGCAAGAAATATTCAAAGTGATGAATAGCAAGAACCTACAACCAAGATTACTTTATCCAGCAAAGCTATCATTCAGAATTGAAGGTCAGATAAAGAGCTTCACAGATAAGGAAAAGCTAAAGGAGTTCATCACCACCAAACCAGTATTATATGAAATGCTGAAAGGTATCCTTTAAGAAGAGGAAGAAGAAGAAAAAGGTAAAGATACAAATTATGAACAACAAATACACATCTATCAACAAGTGAATCTAAAAATCAAGTGAATAAATAATCTGATGAACAGAATGAACTGGTGATTATAATAGAATCAGGGGCATAGAAAGGGAATGGACTGACTATTCTTGGGGGGGAAAGGGGTGTGGGGGATGCGGGAAGAGACTGGACAAAAATCGCGCACCTATGAAAGAGGACTTTGGGTGGGGAGTGAGGGCGGAGGGTGGGGTGGGAACTGGGTGGAGGGGAGTTATGGGGGGAAAAAAGAGGAACAAATGTAATAATCTGAACAATAAAGATTTAATAAAAAAAATAAAACTTTTGTTTAAAAAAATGATTAAAATGAACTTCACCCATTTTTGTAGTGTGGTTATAGAAAACGTATAACTGCATTTGCATTATTAACATTGGACAGCAGCACTCTACATCTTCAAAACAAAGGGATCAAAACCTATCTTTAAGGACTTTAAATGTTTAACGGCGAGTGTTTCAATATTGTCGTCCTTATGCCTCTCAAAGTCAAGTTAAAACACTTATCTACCCAAAATGAATAAACCTTGCATGCACAGATATTTATCACCAAGTTCCTCTTGAGGTTGCTTTCTCTCCAGGTCCTGTGAGAGTCCTATGATTACAACACTCAACGGTCAGCTCCTATGGTTTTGCCTCAAGTAGATCATAACAGATCATCAGGAAATACACCAAAATGTTAAGAATGATTATTTCTGGGTAATGGGGTACTGAGTGATTTTTGAATTTTTAAAATTCTTTTCTTCATCTTTCAATCTTTTAACAATGAAGACCATTATGCTTCTTCATTAGAAAAGTGCATATCTTTGAATTTCAGCATGAATGGTTTATAAATTGTATAAACATGACAAATGTGTAAAAAAGAGGACACTTAAAAGGAAATACCCTAAAATACTTTAATCTGCTTTTCTATATTTCCAAACTTTCTATAGTGAATTGGTTATTTCTATCCAGGGACGAAATACACCTTCTTTAAAACTTACACTATCCATCCCCCCTTCTAACCTTCAACCTATGTTAATCTGCAGGCTGGCTTTCTCAGCACGCCTGAAGCTATCTCCACTGTATTAAAGTGATGAGTAAATACTTCAGATTTTTTGCTTCAATCTTCAATATTTTTACAACTAACATCAAACAGAACAGTATTGAGTTAAGAGTTTATGCAGGAGATGGGGAAGAAACCCCAATGGTATTTTAATATGCCACATGCACAGGGGCTTAGGTTGTACTGGGAAAATGCCCTTCTAATTGGGTGTCATTTACATCTGAGTCCTGTGGCAGCAGGGGAGAGCACTTTCCTGTGCGCAGTCCAGACCAGTACACACACACACACACGCACGCACGCACGCACGCACGCATGCACACATGCATGCACGCACAGGCGTGAGGGGGGTTGTGCCCTATCTCAGTCCCACTGAGCATCCCCAACAGCTGCTTTTCTCACCTGCCCTCCATTCTTGAGGCCAGACCCGCCGCCCTACCTGCTGCAGAGCTGGCATCAGTGTGCGGGCGGGCAGGACAGAGCCAGGTGTGCTGTCTGCCCTGCTGGATCTGGAAAGAGCTGGGCTTCTAAAGGCCTATCAGGTATAATTGTTTAACCTGGCAATTTTTTTGGTCTTCCTGAGGGAATGTTTTTTTTCCAGTTCCTACAAGGCAACAGTCCTCTTGAATACGGCACTACTGAGCACAGAACTTACTGTTAGTAGAAAAGATAACTTCTCCCTCCTGCGGGGTGGGGTCTGTATCCTGGACCACCTGCAAGGCTCCCACAGTCCGAACAGCAGGGTCCAAAGTGACTGAACTTTCATTTACAGTCGTGTCGCTTGCACCTGTGATCTGGTTGGTTGGTGGGCCTCCCAGAGATCCCTCGTAGTCGGTGGGCAAGTCGTCCATGCAGTCGGCGTTGGGCTGACAGGAGCAGAAAAGAATCTGTTCTCAGTGTGTGTCATCAAGTTAGAGGCAAAATGTCTGCAGCCTAGATATTTTGTCCTGATGGAAAACCAAGTTCTTTACTGCTTTCTTCCTGAACCATTTTATTTTAAAAATGTCCACATGTAATGAACAGAAAAACATTTTCCAAAATTTCCTTTCCAAAGATTCCATTTTGATCTACATACAAGGTTTTAATCCCAGGAGTAGCAATATAATTACATTAAGACCCATGCATTATTTGCAAATACTGATGACATGAGAGGGGGATATAGAATTGTGAATTATTCAACACACAAGACACACACATCTCATTAGATTTCACACACACACACACACACACACACACACACACACACACACACTACAAGGTGAGGCTATTTTTTGTTGTTAGACATAATCCAAAAACCTGCTATTGAAAAAAAGCCCTATTTATTTAACATGCACTTGAACTAAATGAAAATCTTAAGAATCATGACACTAGGGTAAGACCATGGAGTGTAACTACCCATCATTGCAGGACTCTTCCCCCCAGTATCCACTTGTACAACGTAGAAACGGGAGCTCTCTGCTTTGCAAGGCAGCCTGCATTGCTCAGCTTTGCTAGGCTATTCCACTATTGGGGAACATGGCAAGTTTTACTCGTTGGTTTTAGTTCTGCTGTTTAAAGTGATATTGAATATATTTATATCTCTTTCACAAGCAGCTTTTAAAATGACTTTCGATTGCTATACATGCACCCAAACTTATAAGAAAGGTGGTGTTGGAGAAAGATGGGCTTGAGAAATACTAAGAATAGCTATTAATTATTATTACTTTTGCTCTGTTCTGAACATCAATATTGTCTTGAGCAATGATAATTAAGTGGTTTTGCACCCCTAATGGATAAAGAACAAGGTGTGCAGGTGGAAATTCTGGGTTGACAATGATTATGTTGTGTTAAAAGTTCATTAAAAGAGAAAATCTATAGCTCATGGACTCATTGGGAGCAAAAAGCAAAAAACTCAAAGTGCTGGACTCTTTTCCTAGTTGTCTGCTATTAAACCAGTCTTCTGACCACCAACCTGTGTTTCCAGCAGCTGGAAATCTCCATCACTCCACAAAACCCTCCAATTCAGCTCATTCCCTTTTTTTCTGTATTCTCTCTCTCTCTTTTTTTGCCTCTTTGTCTCTGTTGGAAGTGAATCAAGTCATTGAAACTCAAGTTGTTGAAAGTCAATTCACTGAATGACTGAACTTCCAAACTCACTGATTGAGACACTGATCATGAGCAATTATGCTACGAACATTTCTCATCCCATTACTGGTCTCCTAATCTCTCTATAGTTTCCTCCCAGTACATCTCATTCTCCACTTTCTCATCAGAGCACTCTTTTTTAAAAACACAGATATGATTCTTCTTTTCTCCTAAAGAATTAATTACAATCTTAGTTTGGCAACACAGGCACCTATAGCAGTGATGGCGAACCTATGACACGCGTGTCAGAGGTGACACGTGAACTCATTTTTTTGGTTGATTTTTCTTTGTTAAATGGCATTTAAATATATAAAATAAATATCAAAAATATAAGTCTTTGTTTTACTATGGTTGCAAATATCAAAAAATTTCTATATGTGACACGGCACCAGAGTTAAGTTAGGGTTTTTCAAAATGCTGACACGCCGAGCTCAAAAGGTTCGCCATCACTGCCCTATAGCCTTGGCTAGCCTACTCTTCTGGCCTCACCTCCAGCCTTTGGAAACACACTGAACAACATATATTCCCTATCTCAGAGCTTGAGCTAATGCTGTTCCTCCGCTCAGGGTGACATCTGCCCCAATCATCCAGCTCCCCTTTTCCATTCCAAGATCTTAAACTAACCCTCCTGGGGTACTCCTAATCACCCCTCAATTCCAAGTCCAAATGTCACCTTTTCTAAGTAGTGTTCCCTCCCAGATAGCCATCCTCAGTACTATAACACCTTATTCTTACTTCTCCCACACTGTTATGGGTCACTGCACTTTCTTACTCTACTAGTCTGCCTTCTTAAAATTCCAGTTTTATTAAGATATAGTTAACATGTAATACTGCATTGTAATAATTTATTAATTTAAGGTGTACATGTAATGATTTGGTAAATGTATATATTGCCAAATGAGCACCACAATCAGTTTCATTAACATCTATCACCTCACCTAGTTACATTTTTTCTTGTGATGAGAACTTTTAAGAGCTACTGTCTTAGCAACTTTCAAATATACAAAACAGTATTGTCAACTAAAGTCACCATATTGTACACCCTCAGAACTTATTTATCTTATAATTGGATGTTTGTACCTTTTAACCACCTTCACACATTTTGTCCTCCCTCCACCACTTGCCTCTGGCAACCACCTGTCTGTTCTCTGTTTCTATGAGTTCAGTTTTGTGGATTCCACATATAAGTGAGACACAAGCCTTTTAAAGTAACTCAACTACATTATATTGCTCTTGAATCACCTAGTGCCTGACAATTAGTAAGTGGTCAGAAAATGTCGGTTTGAAAATTTTATCCGAGTCTCAGTTTACTGCTCTGAAAACTTGGGAACATTAGAATCTGCCCTACATTAAGAGAGGATTTGAGAAAATATTTTAAAAACTGACAAGTTCTGTTCAAAGGTAAGGTACACTATTGAAGGGTAGCAGAAAATGCCACCCCTCCATATGTTGGCATAAGGATTATTTTGAACTGAAATAATTGAGAAGGACATAAAGACATGTTCTCTGTCCTTCTTCTATGTGCATAAAAGCAGGACATGCATTTGTAAGTGTGTGCCCCCTCTGTATCAGGAAGGTAAGAACATTCTTGTCACCAGTGATTGGGAATTGACTCTGAAATGGATCTGCACAAACAAACCTTACGAACATGACCTTATCTGCCCTTAGTTTCCCCAAGATATTTACCTCCTCGCAATCTGCTGTTCTAGAAACCCAAAGTTCTTTTCCTTTGTCTTGCTGCTTCTCTAAAATGTCATTGCTCTTTTTTTGAAGATGCCATATAAGCTCAACTTCTAAGCACCTTTTTGAGTTACTCATCACTCAGCATTCCATGTGTAGGTGTGGTGCATGTGTTAATAAATGTTGGCTTGATTTTCTCTTGTTAATCTTTTATGAGTCTAATTTACAGGGCCCCAGCTAGAGAACCTAGAAAGGTAGGAGGAAAAATAATTTCTTCCCCTCCCTAATACCATGTAAAGATGCTTCTAAGCAAAACCCATTGTGTGGGGTATCGGGGAGGAAAAGGTTTCTCAGTGAGGATAGTGTGCGGTTGTTCTTCAGCCATAAGCATCTGAATGCAATCACATATGTGATAACAACTGATGTGTTTTTCAAAATGTGTTTGCTTGTCGCTATTGTTCCTTTATTTCTTTTCTTTATTTAAAAACATATTTTAGCAATTTTGATGCAGAGTGTTTGCCTTTACTTTGTGGACTAGTAAGAACAGTGTTACATCTTTAATAGAGGAAGGAGAGGAAAGAGAAGGACGGAATTAGCTCACTGAGACTGAGTGTTAGCAGGCATAAATAATTTGTGTTAGATATAATATTGAATACATCAGCCTTACTAACTCTCACATAGATTATATCCGCTCTAAATGGTTCATTAAATAGCAGGTTTTGAAAAGAAACCCAATTTATAATCGTCTAAGAGGAATTATCATCGTAATGTTTAGTAAAAGATGTCAAATATCATCTGAAAGTGAACAAGGTATAGGTATTCAAATTCAGGTTAGCATGGGGAAACTCCTCAAGACAACCAACTGCCAAAGAGTCAGGGATTCGTGAATATACCGGCTACACTGTCTTTGCCATCAAACAGTCATCCTATTCACATCTGGATAACAGTGATGGGAGAAGGTGTTGGGATATGAAAAGCCCAGTTTATATGGTACATTATAGGCATATTCACTAAAACCTGTGTTCTCTCATCTTATGGGACACCTAGACCTAACTGAACAGAAAGGGGGCTGAAGCACCGTAATGTAGATAAAGAGATGAAAACACTTCTGACAATAAAGGACCCCCCCTCCCACTCCTCTCACCTTTCAGTTCAGTATTCTGTTTCTCCTGGTAAAATATAATGAAAAAATATGCCCATCGTAATGGGAATTTCATGAGCCCTGAGCTGTGCTTTTATTCTTTAGTTCATTTTAGAGAAATCCACTTACAAAATGAAAATGTTTCCAGCTCTTAGCTTTCAACTTATATTTACAGTAGGTCCTCGGGTTACATCGAAGATCCATTCCTACGGCGCGACGTAACGCGATTTTCGCCGTAAGTCGGAACCCACCTACATAAGCACCTATGTCACTCACATGGAGCACATACACAGCAGAAATGAAGTGAAACAGCAAAAACAATTTAAAAGAAAGATAACAATTCCTGACCTTTACTTGTGGTAAATAAATAATAAGAAACATAAAGCACATATGTACATACGTCGAAATGACAGAACTTTTTTTTTTTTTATAAATAAATGGGAGATGGCGACGTAACCATGAAACGACATACGTCAAGTCCGACGTAACCCAAGGACTGTCTGTATTTGCCTGCTTTAGCACAGGCAGCCACAAGGATACTCAGTTAAAACAACAGAAACAAAAACAAACCAAAAATCCTGCCACCTGTATTTGGACTAGCTAGTTCAGTGGTTCCCAAACTTATTTGGCCTACCGCCCCCTTTCCAGAAAAAATATTACTCAGCGCCCCCTGGAAATTAATTTTTTTAAAATTTTAATAGCAATTAAACAGAAAGATATATGTATTAATGTTTCTACCTTTTTCGTAAAATATAGTAAAGAAAGGTATAAATTAGAAACATTGAAGTTTGAAATTATGAAACTATTTATTGAACTCAGAATAGAAAGGTAATACAAAAAAAGTTAAAACAAATGCACCTGTGGCCATCACCGCCCCCCTGGATCGCTGCAGCGCCCACCAGGGGGCGGTAGCGCCCACTTTGGGAATCACTGAGCTAGTTGATCAGGATTACAACCAAGTCGTTGGTAAGTGGACATTGGTCAAAGAGGGATCAGGGTGAATTTCATAAATTATGATTCTGTGACTGGCAGCCTTCAGACTCAGAAGGGCTATGTGCCACAGTCATTTACTGAACAATTAGCATATGTAAGGGATACAGAGATGGAGGACCAACAAGCACCGATTACCAGAGAGTGACAGGCGCTTTTTAATTTTCCTTGATTGAGAAGAAATGGAGTATAGGAGTTTAGGAAGATCGTAAAGCAATTCCATAAGCTGTATAAAAAGGATTTTCAGTTAGCTATAGGAAGTGTGTTCTAGCTAAGAAGGTTATGAGTTTGGCCAATGACATGGAAAGTTCTAAGAATGGAGTAAAAATTTCATCTCTTTGGCATAATTTAGGCATGGTGCTACTCAGTGATGGAGGATAGAGTGGAAACAACCACCAAAATTTTCCCCAGATCCAGACTTCAGTATCAACCACCAGGACAAAAACAGAGAAGTCTCAGGAAGGCACGGGGGCAGGGCGAGGGGGGAGTCATATGCCTCGGTGCTGCTGAGAAGTAGCGTAATCCACGTGCCTTCCTCATGGAGGATGTTCTGTTCTCTGGGGCGAGCTCGGATGGGTGTCACGTTCCTGTTCGCCTGGCCTTTAAGAATCCTTGGCAAAACCCAAAAGATGCTACCAATGTTTATTTTTCCAGAAGCCAAGCATGCTAAGTAAAATCCTACCTGCGTATAAACCCTGGCCAGAAGGCCCACCTGCTAAAAGTCACAATGCTAAACGTTTTGTTAATAAGCCAAATGGCCACCCAATACTTCTCTTTTAAAAACAATGAATAGCTGTATTCTCAACTCATTTACAAGTAGCTTCTGGAGAAGTTGAACCTCCCCAGGAAAAGTCTGGGGTCAAAGTTATTTAGTATAAAATTTGGCTTCATGGTTCTGAAGGAGTATTGGAATTGACCCTTAGGAGCTTTGAAAGTATCCTGAGCAATAGGAGCGAGGTCAAGTGATGTGACGCTCTCTAATTGTGAGTACGTATTCTTTTTCTTTTAAAATATATTTTATTGATTTTTTACAGAGAGGAAGGGAGAGGAATAGAGAGTTAGAAACATTGATGAGAGAGAAACATCCATCAGCTGCCTCCTGCACACCCTCCTACTGGGGATGTGCCTGCAACCAAGGTACATGCCCTTGACTGGAATCGAACCTGGGACCTTTCAGTCTGCAGGGAGACGCTCTATCCACTGAGCCAAACCAGTCAGGGCGTGAGTACGGATTCTAAAGGTGTCAGAGACCAAAGACACACGTACACACATGCAAGCACACATATACATACATTCCCCCCTCCCTTGTAAGAACCAGTTACGGCCAGGAGTGTGAAAAGTGCAAGCATTGAGATGAATTTCTAAGTCACCAGCGTCTGGTAGAGATGTTGGGTGTTAACTAATGTTTCATGTTCACAGTAATTGATTTTCACCTTGACTACATTATGCATTTACAACCCTGGTCTGAGAATTTAATGCATTGCCTTTCAAAAATCTAATTCAAAGATACAGTCACACCAGCTGATTTGTTTTTGGTGCATCCACCGTGAAAACTGGCACTCAGCTGGCACAGAGGCAGCTGGTCCAGGGGAGAAACTTCAGCCAATGCACAGCCTCCTAAGGCCTCAGGTGTGCCCTCTCCTGCAGAGTCCCTCTGATAGTCCTAGAGTAATGAGCCCGTCAGCATTAAAGAAAACCTTTGATATCTGACCTGCTCCTTCCTCCTCCAGTGACATCTTGGGACCATTAACATTCTCTTTGTTCTCTGCCATTACTGAGGAGTGACAACAGGGAGGTTGCAGTACCGTGCAGGGGAGGGGGAGGCCGGTTTCTGCATCCTGCTTGTCTAGCTCCTTCTAGCCAGTGCCTGTGTTTTTCTGACATCACTCTGTGCAGCCCTCGGATTGGGTGGCCTGGCTGGCTTCCTGCCCTCACATGGCAGCTGCTGTCTCACCAACCACCAGTCTGTGGGCTTCACTTGCCATGGGCCTGGGAAAGTCTTTCCCCGGAGTGTCAAGCCAGCCAGCTAGTGGGATTCTCTTTGCACTGGCAGAGATTTGATTTTATACAACCTGTAACGGAGGCACCAGCTGGAGGGTCACACTAGAATGAAGTGGTTCTGGCTCTGGCGTCCTGCTCGCTCAAGGTCTCCACAGATCTGAGTTCAGCATCGGCTCTGAGCCAGGTTCCCAGCAGCTGTTCTCCGCGCCCAGTGTTGGGAAGAGCTCGTTTTCTCTGAAAGCTAGGGGCCTGGGGCACGATCAGACAATGTGGCCTGCAGACCTCTGTGATGACAGCGCAGGGGCCATGACACAAGAGGAAATCAATGCACAACTGGCCCATGGGGCGTCTGCTCATGTCCCGCCTGCATCCACTCACTGCAGCCTGGAGGAGAAGCTGCACAAGCAGCACCTGGACTCGCAGACACAGACAATGGACATGGGGAGAAGGCCAAGTGTTCTCAGACATGGGCATTCCCTTTGGGCCTCATCCGATGACGCCCAGGCTGTGGGGTTGAGGGGACAGAGGAAAGCCAGGTGTGACGTGTTCTCCCTGCTCCGGGGGTAATGCAGAAAGACAGACATGACGAGGCTGTAGGCTGTGCTGTGCTTACCGGGATCCCTAGGGCTTTAAGAATGTTCATCTTGCACATGGGGCAGGTGCGATGGTCTAGGAGCCAGGGGTCAACACAGGACTTGTGGAAAAGATGCCTGCAATGAGAACCATACAGCTTAGAGCGGCGGCAACTGCAGAGACTCCCTAGTCCAGTAGGGCCCAGATGCTTCTCCAAAGTCACTCAGCTGCTCAGTGGCAGAGCCAAGACTCGAACCTCCATCTCCTAACACCTGGACCAATGTGTGCCCTGTCATCCCCTACGGCGGTGCAAACTCTGTCTGGATCCCAGGAGTGTCCTACAGGCCTCCAAGTTTCAGAAAGTGTAGAAACAGAGAGAAGCTTCTCTCTCTTAATAGGAAACATGTTTACTGGAAAGAACACAAGGGGAGAAACTCGAACTGGCCTTTCAGGGTAACCTGATAGATACTACGTTTGCAGAATTCCAGAATTTCTTTTCCCACGGTCGGAAGACAACTGCAAAATAAAGGCTCCTTTCCATTAATATTTGGGGGTCTGACATAAAGGGCAGAGGAGATCCTGGAAGCATTTAACAACACAAATGACCTTTTTAGTTGTTAAGGCTGCCGGTTGTCAAGTCAGAAGCCAGAGTGAAAGGGGCGGTAACCTTTCCTGTTTGGACAGCTGACATTTGTGCTCAACTCCACTCCATCCCTGGGTGCCAGGTTCTCTGAGCTTTCATCTGGGGGCAGGCTAAGGGGGCATTTGGTAGATGTGGGAGGGCGCCTAACTGAACTGCCTCTCCACTTGGCTCTCGGAGTCACTCTGTCAGACACTGTTGGAGTCAAAAGCTTGTTTTCTCACTCACAAGATCCAGATCACGGGCAGAAGCAGTCAGAAGTGCCTGCCTGGGGCAAGAAGAGAGAGAACTGTCTGTCTTAAGGGTGAGGGCTTCCTTAGGACATTGCCTCCATGCCTGACCCTCTCTCCTCAGGGGTGCCCTAAACCTGGAGTACTCCCACTCTCTCTTCTCATCTCTCATTCTAGCAGTTCTCACAATGTTCTTTGTGTTAGACGGCTTTAGGCCAAGTGCTTAAAAAGTCCTCCCTGCCTCAAATTAGAGAATTGTGCAGGAAAGGGCTGCCTTTTAAATTGAACTTGGGAAGTAGCCATGTGCCAAGGATGAGATTAGCTGTATAGAGGATGTCTTCAGATTGGTGATTAGAAAAAAGGAGAGTGACAACTTGGATGTGTCATTGTGTTTGCAGATTACTGTTTAGAATGCCCTGCAGATTCGCTGCTTAGGAGGCATGTATCTCATTCATTCATTCTCTCACCCACGCCTTCGTCCAACAAGTAGTGTCTGCCAAGAATTGTGCTCATCACTGGGAGTCGGCATGATAGAGATTTGGCCCCTTCCCTTAGGGCAGTGATGGCGAACGTATGACAATCATTTTTTGGTTGATTTTTCTTTGTTAAATGGCATTTAAATATATAAAATAAATGTCAAAAATATAAATCTTTGTTTTACTATGGCAAATATCAACAAAAAATTTCTATATGTGACACGGCACCAGAGTAACTCATTTTTTTTGGTTGATTTTTCTTTGTTAAATGGCATTTAAATATATAAAATAAATGTCAAAAATATAAATCTTTGTTTTACTATGGTTGCAAATATCAAAAAATTTCTATATGTGACACGGCACCAGAGTTAAGTTAGGGTTTTTCAAAATGCTAACACGCCGAGCTCAAAAGGTTCGCCATCACTGCCTTAGGGAATATAACAGGAGAGGCAGACATTAATAAAATAATAATATAAAATAAACTGCTTAATGACACCAGTGGTAAGTACCACATTAGAAGAACAGGAGTGGGGAAGGATTTATAACAAGGAGAGTTTCCCGATGAGGTGCCAAAGCTAAGACTGGAGGGCTGCATAGACATCCACGTGAAGGGGAGGGTAGAGGAAGGAGGACATTCTAAGCAGAACCACTGGCTGGACAAAAGCCCTGAGCTGGGCACTGGAAGAAGTGGTCCCAGCACAGTGAGGGAGTGGCTGAGGCTGGATAGAGTCCTGCCTGCACAACCACCCCTCTCCCCAAGAAATACCTCTCTCCCCACGTTCAGGCTCTACCTTCAGGAAACAAGTTCCTAATCTGACTTTGCTCACCACCTGGTGTTCCTCCTGGGAACCAAGTCAAACATTCTGGCCCCTTTGACCGGCCCTGGGAGGCAGGCTCTGCATTGTCTCCTGAACACAGACTGGAGTGGGAACGAGGGCAGGCCCCCTCATTAGCTGTTGTAGCTTAAAGAAGTCACTTAATATCTCCAAGTCTCATCTGCCTCATCTGTAAGATGAAGATCTACTACTCACATGGAGAAGCCTTCCCTGAGTATCCAGTTCACCGAAGTGAGTACTTCCTCCCTAGCACTCTGAGTGATTTCTTTCCATGCACTGGTCTTACAGCTTCTGTGATGGTTAGGGTTAGTGCTATGTGTCAACTGGGCCAGGCTATTCAACCAAACACTAATCTAGGATATTCTGTAACTATGATTAATATGTATAATCAGTTGACTTTAAATAAAGGAGATTATCCCAAACAATCTAGGTGGGCCTATTCTAATCTGTTGAAAAGTTTTAAGAGCAAACCCTTTTTAAGAGAAGACATTCTGGCTCAAGGAGGCATAATTAATGGCTGCTCAGTTTTCAGCCTGTAGGTCTGTGCTGCAGATTTCAGACTTGCCAGCCCCTACAATCACGTAAGCCAACTCCTTGAAAATATATAGTGGGATATAATGTTTGGCATCCTGACTGATGCATCCCCCAATGAGATTACCTCCATGAGAGCAAAACCCCCCTTCGCCTGATTGACTGTTGTATCCCAGCATTGAGAATAGTTCCTGGCACACAGATAAGAAATACTTGCTGCATTAGTGGGTATTTATCAAAGGCCTCGGGACTCCTCACTGCCTGCACATGGTCAGGTCACCCAGTCCCATGGACCCACTCTTCCTAAAAATCTTTCCCATTCATTGCTTTGCTTTTCTCAGTGCTGTTCCCTCATTCACAATCTCATGACCTTTTTTCTGTATTATTCCACTAACATCTAAACTGGTCTCCATGCCACCAGTCTTTCCCTGCTCTCTTCATCCCACTCTTCCTTGCCAGATTTATCTTTTTAAAATAAAGTATGAGTTACGTCACCCCCTTGTTCCATTCTGTTCTGTGCTAGGAGCTGGGTATGAATTTGAATAAGACAAGGTCCCTCCTTCAAGGCAGTGCTACAGCCCTTCAGTGGCTCCCTGGGAACTAAAATGCCAAGGCCATTGAGAGGTCACTCCTGGATTCATTTTCTGGCTGTTTGATCTTAGGCACATCTTAGCGCTCCAAGACTCAGACCCTCATTGGTGAAATTTTATCTTATAGGTATGGAGTTTACAAGTGAATAAGTGTGAGTGTGTGTGTGTGTGTTAGAGAGAGAGAAAGAGACAGAGGGAGAGAGAGAGAGAAAGAGGGAATAAATAATGCTCACAAAGCTTAAATCATAAGTCTTGGCCCTCCTTAATTGTAAACTGCCATTAATCTTATCAATACTACTACTGCATCTTGTTATTTATTTACTAGAGGCCTGATGCATGAAATTCGTGCAAGGGCCTTGGCCCTCGCCACCCCGGCTGCCTTGGCCGGCCCTCACAGCCCCTCGCAGCCTTGGCCGGCCCTCACAGCCCCGGCTTTGCCCAGAAAGTTGTCCGGATGGTCGTTCTGCATATTAGCGCTCTCTCTCTCTCTCTCTCTCTCTCTCTCTCTCTATATATATATATACTTAAATTCTCACCTGAGAATATTTTTCCATTGATTTTTAGAGTGGAAGAGAGAGGGAGAGACAGAGAGAAACATTGATGTGAGAGAAACACATTGATTGGTTGTCTCCTGCACACGCCCTGACCAGTTCCCGGACTGGCAAGGAGCCTGCAACTGAGGTATGTGTCCTTGACTGGAATCAAACCCAGGACCCTTTGGTCCACAGGCCGATGTTCTATCTATCTATTGATCCAAACTGGTTAGGGCCTCATTGTTTTTTTTAAACAGATGCTTAGTACTCCATTGTATAGGTTTATCATTTCCAGAAGAGGAGGAATACAAGTATGTTTCCTTTATTTACCCTTTCTTGGTAATCATTTTAGCACAGTGAAGGAAAGAGAATGAAGAGACTAATGAAAATATATAAAAAGATAATACATACTATAAATAATAAATTAGTGTTTGTAGAGCCATTTTAATTTCTTTTTTTTTTATTGCTTAAAGTATTACAAAGGGTATTACATATGTGTCCTTTTTTTCCCCCGCCCTTGACAATCCCCTGGCCTCCCCTACCCCCCAGTGTCTTATGTCCATTGGTTATGCTTATATGCATGCATACAAGTCCTTCGGTTGATCTCTTACCCCCTTCCCTCCTGCCCCCCAACCCTCCCCGGCCTTCCCGCTGCAGTTTGACAATCTGTTTGAGGCAGTTCTGCCTCTGTATCTATTATTGTTCAAAAGTTTATAATGGTCTCTATTATCCGTGAATGAGTGAGATCATGTGGTATTTTTCCTTCACTGACTGGCTTATTTCACTTAGCATAATGCTCTCCAGTTCCATCCATTGCGTTGCAGATGGTAAGAGTTCCTTCTTTTTTACAGCAGCATAGTATTCCATCGTGTGCATCTTGTTTTTAGATGTTGTTATTACTCTGTATTCTACTCTTCAGAATGAACTTTCTAAGGTTGAATGCAAGTAACTCAAAATTTTAAAAAAAATCACAGGAGGAACTAAGGACAAAAAAAGTGCTGAAATGACTCATAGGGTGATCATGCTGATCATTAACTAATATTTCTAGCATATTTTTTGTTAACCATCAAATATGAAGACTATATCCTCATAATTGGATTGCAACCCCCTACCCCCAAATGGAAAGAAAAATAGAAGTCACTTGACTAAATAAATAAACAAAACAATAGGGGAAGACTCTGGAATTTAGTGCAATGCACCCCCAGTTTAGTAAACATCTGTAAGGCAAAGTCAATCTCAACTCTTCCTATTTGTACAATTCTCAGTAGAGCACTGTCCCTTCCCATGTTTTAACAAAAGCT